AGAAAGTTAGGGGCGGCCAAACCAAAACATGGCAGAAATCCATGAAGTCATTGACGAGTGGACTTAGCCATGTCGGTAATTGTCGACTACCTGGTTGGGGTCCGCTAGATGATAATAATCGATGGTTAGAGACCCTGAATGACATGGCTCAAAATCGTTCACAATGGCGCCGGTGCATTTATTCTTTGTAGTCTCTCAAATTCTAATCTTCTGGATTCTTCAACACCTCTAGTTTTGTCTTTCTAAACTTAACTCATTGAATCATACTTCGTGAATAATATCTTCTAATCCTAACCTCTCCGATTACTTCTAATACCTTTACTACCTCTTCTACTATGGGATTTGAATTGACAATTACATCTCTGTGCTGATGTGGTATGGCAACATGAACTTCTGTACATACGTACGAAGTTGTACGTTGCATCTGACTGACTGACTGATTACTGAAACTGAATGTATTGTATCTATACCGCTTAAAACATATCTCCATATTACCATCAAACTTCAATAACACCTAGAAAAAATGCACAAGAAGTAAGTATATCAATAAAATAGACTTTCAGTTATGTGATATGACCGTCATAAATGTCACTGTTCATATGTAAAAACTTTAAAAAATTTGAACTGAAATTGGAAAACGTAAAAGTGTATTATGTTGTGTTCTTTTTTCGTTGTCTGATCCAGTATGTCAGTCAATCATTGAATCAGTCATAAATGAATTAAAATTTAGTAATATATATATATATATATATATATATATATATATATATATATATGTAAATTGCAACACTTCATGTCAATACACAAGGAAAGGCAATGAATTAAAATGAAAAACAGCGGTAAATGACATTTTGAAAAAACTAAACATGGAAAATAAGAGTTATCGAAGAACGAAAAAATACAATAGCTTCGCATGGCTTCGAGTTTGAGCCATCAATTGGATAGTTGCTGTTGCCTTCTTATGTTCAGGTTAGTTTTCATGACCATACAGTAATTTTAAACTCAGCCTCCAATTTATTCAACTTATTAAAGTATATCAATTTTCCACTAAATATAATTAGGCAACTAGAAATAAAGCTACTGTAAGGATAGTCTTATGAAGTGGGTCGTGACTTGCAAAACTTTTCAAAAGGAGTAAACACAGTAAGGCTGTTAGTCTTAGAAATTTATTCACTAATTCAATATATGGACGCAATTCAAAATATGTTAAGGGATTCTTATTACTAATCTAATTCCATTAACATAAATTTGAATGGCAGATATCATTCTTGAACAGCAATAAATTCAATGAAATAAGAATAGATTGAATTTCGGTATCTTAACAATGAATTCAGCTGCAAGCGCTTATGTAAAAAAAACTAAACAGATTCGAACTAATGAAATCTATTGTTCTGACTATTCAAGTTTCTTAACGTAAGTATCATTTGAGCAAGGAGTCCAAACTCATATAAACACATCTGATCAATCTCGTATAATTTTAGTCGAATAAGTGTTTCTCTCACAAAAATTATATGACACATGTGCTATTGAAAATAATATGTCTGACGAAATATTTTCAATATTTAACTAGGTCAGTCAGTCAGTTGCAACGTAGGAAGGATTTGATTTTGACCAATTCGGTCTCGCGTACTGTTACGGGTATGAGAGCGGTTGTCACTTCCCGGCTGCCAACACCGTGGAAGGTTGTTTCTTGATGAGCTTGAAAAGGAAAATAGACTAGTGTTGGTCTTAGAGACCTGGGTGCGTGACCGCAGAGTCCAAGGGACAACTGCTTGAGGCAGGTCACACACGGCCTTTTTATGAAACGTTTTTAGAGGATTAGCTCCGTTCTTAAAGACCCTTAGTGGGCACCCTTACCCAAGGAGACGGAAATCCGTGAGGTAGGGGAGGTGTGACATTTTTAGGGTCGACCTTTTCTAACCCTTCCTTCCTTGTGAGAAGGCAGCATCGCTGCAGATGCTGGTTGTCCGAGGGAAACAAAAACTTTACTGTTGTCACGCCCCTCTGCAGTCAGCAGTACGACTTCGCCCTCAGACCTTGAGTAGCTGCTTTTAGTCTCATCGTTCTCCAATCGACCAGCCTGGAATGGTAGGACCTGCAGGAACATATGTTCCGGCCAGTATAGCTCGGTTGGGTCATGACGATAGGCAAGCCCGACCACCACGTCAAGGTAGCAGCTACGGTCGGGACAGAAATAAGAACAATTTTTAACTACGTATAAAAATACCTAATACATATTGTTATAATATGTTAAACAAACTGCTAGTTAATCCTGAGTGGTAATAGAAGACATTTAAAATACATTTCAGACAACAAGAAAAGCCTTAGTTTTCTACATATATTCCAAAACATTTGTGAAAGCAGAAAGAATAACCAACATGTGCTCAAGTGTCCTGTGTGCATGAATTATTAGGTGAGAAAGATTAGAAATGTATTGGATATTGGATAAGAAGACGTAATTGATCTGAAAAACATAATGTTTTGCGCGCTATACATTTCGAACAATATAGTTAGTTACACATATACTTATCAAGGCATTTTATAAGAAGATAATCTTTAAGCCATTCATTGTATGGCATAGATTAATGTCACAATTTCCTACCTTTTCTTATTCTTTCTATAATACGTTAATTTTCTCTCTCTGCTTTATTTATAATTATCACCTTGTGTATTTGAACTTTTATTTAACTGACAAGTGTCTATGTGTGTGACCAGATTGTTCAAAATGTATAGCGCATATACATCACAAAATTTTTCAGATTAATTACGTCTTCTCACTGTGTTCTATCAAAATCTATTAAAGGAACTAATTGTTTTAAATATTGGGTAAATAAAAATGAAAAATGGAGATTAATTGAGCCGAAAGAAGTAAGTAAGAAGTGTCGTAGGAAAACCAACTTTGGAAGTAGAAGTTCACACAACCCATTGCAGAATTTCTTATTACATTATTCACATCAAAATGCTACATAAATTATCAAGGAAATCTACATTTCAGCGCAGACTGGCCTAAGGTATCACCTATAATTTAGTGTTTTCATCCAATATCTTGTGTAATTAATCAGAATAATCTTTGTTAGTAGACTATTACCCTCGTTTAGTCTTCTTCTATTCCATAAATACATGACTTGAAAGAATCACATTCTATCAGAATATTTGTTATGTTTACTTATTAGCATGATATCCAATGAGAGAATTTTCACAACAATAAAATGGAGAGCATTAAAACAAGTCACTTAATCCGTTTTCCTTACAACTGAATAATTGTGGGGTAAGAACTAAATGCTAAGAAGTTACTTACTTTTAAACTCTGGTACGACTATATGATCTCATTAAAGACGGTCTAAAGTATATATATAACTGTACTGTTTACTCACTGAAGAAATCGAGTTTATCTTACTCTTTTGGCTAGCAAAATAACTCGGCTAAGTTTTGTTAGTTTAAGAGGTAGCACATTGGAAAAAGCTATGTATGTTTATTCATTTAAACACAAAAACGGTAAGAAACGGACACAAATATATATATATATATATATATATATCGTTGAAATCATATGTAGAGTGGAATACTATCCGTGTGATCATACCAAAGCAAGCGGTTTTCTACGTAAATCCCTCGAGTCTTTGAACTAGAGTTATAATCCAATGGGCAAAAGAGTGACATTAATACATGTAGTCTCAAAGTAACCAATAACGAACAGTAAATTCATATGCCATTCGTCCCCTCGTGACTTGAAAGCCTGTGTATACCATTGGTTTACAATCAGAGTTTTCCAACTCTCCTGAGTTAGTCCTTCATGCTCACTAACCAAATTCAAACTACGAGATTCGCTTTTCTTCCTCTCGATTTCGGAAACAACGACCCTGCCTCGAAAAAGTAGTGAGTGGGAGGTACCGGGCATTTAATAGTTAAGGTTCAAGTTATGAGACAGTGAGAAAACCTTAAGACTTTCGAGACAACGATAAAAAGTAATATATGTTCGTGTATTTACAATATCATACCATATTCAAATTACTATAACCAGTGGTCCTATATGATTTAAGGACTTTTCAGATTGGTGAGTCATCTATATTTGGTGGTTAGAAACCCGATCAAATGGTTATAAAACAGCTTCAATCGGTTAAAAACTACTTGAAATCTTCATTTTAGTACCAGATACGAGCGGATTTTAAACAAGCTATACTATTCACTAAGTATTATTAATTTTTTATCAATCCTATTAAAAGTAAATTTAATGAAGTCAATGGCGAAATCTCAAAGCCGATTCACGTGATAACCAAGCGGTACATTAGAAGTTAATTAGACGGAATTTTGTGGTTCTGTTCAATAGGATAGTTGGGATATCGATGTTTAAGTGAACTAAGTTTGCTGCTTGATGAGAAGAGATGCGCTGCACAGCATATCTCATGATGATCTGATGCAGATGCGTGACCAAATACCTTTAGATAGTATGTGATATGTAGTAATGTAATCCTGTGTGAAAGAAATAACAATATTCACTTTCGAAACCGATCTGACCTGTCTTCTGTGCTTTTAAATCTAGGAGTGATTAAAAACAGGGCCGTTTCAAAGGCCTTCACACACCCAAAGATTACAATACTGGTGAGTAGTAAATATTCGCTGATCTACCACCCAGATGAAAAGCTGCTAAACTATTTTCCTCACAAAGCAACACCATGATACAGAATCTTACATCTCAAGATTGGTAGATCTGATTAGACAAGATAATAGCAACATAATGCGCAAATATTGAGTCCATTGACACTAGCTGGAATACATTGTCTTGAAAAAATAAATATTTGACACACAAAATAAACCCCAGTTACGCTAGATCATCCCTTCAACCATAAAGCAAGTACACATTTCCATACAAATATAAATAAATATGTATTCCACAAAGCCCCCAAATGCTTCTCGTATTCGAAACACCTGCATACCACAAATATAGTATAAAATGCATGAAAACATTAAAAATTGACGAACAGTTTATTCAACTGACTTACAAAGCAATACTGTAAGGATAAAAATAGTATCCCGGAACATTTGAATCCTGGTAAATCCGCCGAATACGAAAGTTCGCGCAAACTAGTACATGTTTTCTGGTATAGTAAAACAAACACAATAGACAATTTAGAATTCACATTGGGCTGTTCCTTACCTAAGCATATTATTTCGCTTTTCAACGGTGAAGGAGTGAGAAGTTTTCGATCAAACTCATCCGTAATTTCCGAATCTGGATCTCAGCTCAGAAACAACAGTTCTAAACAAATCAACTGCAATTTAGTGAATGTATTCGTCAGTACTGACAGTTCAGTACCTTTTAAAAAACGAATTTCACTTTTTTCTGACCAACTAGTACCTCATTTGCGATTCCAACCTTGCATCAAGAGAAGTCAAGCTCGAAACTGATGAATGGCAAAGGACTGAACTACTAATCTCGTTTGACAAAACGAGCTTCTTTCGATATCTTTATACATCATTGTTCAGTTTCGAACAGGGACAATTCCGCCGATGCTGACACTAAATGTGAGCTCATGTTAGATATGAAAACAATCTTAGAAAGGGGGGAAATGTAGTGGATATAAGTGTTACACTATGTCAAGATGTTTGACAGTATAAACATGATACACAATTATTCAGACTGAATGATTCTTATTCTCAAATTCAAGAGAAAGAATTGTGTTAAAACTGTATTGATCTAAAACGGAGTATTGATGAAGTTGTTCACATTAAAAGCCACTACAAGTCTACAGTGATTGTACTATTATACTACAGTAAGCTCTCATGACTACATTATCCCTTTCTTGTTCTTAACTGTGGCTCCATTAGTAAAGTCTCGAATTCTGAATTTCTTATTCGGAATCTTTTAGCTATCGAAATCAGTTGTCGTGTTAATATAGTTTGCAGGTGCGTTTATGCCATATTATTTTATGTTGTGTGGATTTGAGAATTACCGGAACTACAGAGTATTTGAAGCTAAATAATAAGTTTATCTAACAAGCTGTACTATAATCCAAGAAGAATGAGAACAATAGACCCTGGTTGATGAGAATTACCTTCCTTTCTACCTAGGTGTAGGCTAACATTCTTGAGGCATCTTATGTTATTCGACGCCAGGCGAAAATCGGAATTCACATGCCTTCTGAGAGATTATACTGTGAAGGTATTAGCCACAAAAACCAATCGGTGCTAACCATTCCACTTATAAAAAAATGTGGAAGGGACAGAAATCACACACTGAGTAAACCCTGTAAAAACAGGTTGCCTGCTTCATCCTAAAAACAAGGCGTCAACTGCTTATATACGAACGATACCAGTTTATCGGATGAAATGGATGAGTTGTGCGCTCTAGTCTACATTAACAATGCTGACCTGGTAGGAATATCTGAAACGTCAGTATTTACTCACAGCACGAACGAAACGCTAGCAATAACCGCGAGTCTTCCAAATGTTGAGACTGGAAAACTGGAACAGGAGGCATGGTAGCCTTATGCCGACAATTTGGCATAGTCACACGCTGAACTGGTTTTCAATGTTGTGGAATCTAATTTCAGCCTATTGAAAATGTCTAAAAACCACTATTAACGTCAATTACGACAACCAAATACCGGAGGGATTATCTCGTTCCACTCGTGGTAGATAAGCTTGTATTGGAGTGCAGGAGTCTTAGAGATGACCTAATGACTACAGTGACCGGCCTCCTGAGCATTTACTTAAATACTTACTAACCTTAAGTCAATACCTAAAAATAAGAGGAACAAATGCAAAATAGTCTCTTGACAAACCTTTCTACTTCCTAGAAGTAGTAAAATTCTGGGATTCCCTATCATCCGAGGTTTCCCCGGTGACTTTTCAGCAGCCCTTCAAGAAAAAGCTCAGTATATACCTTAAGACGCTCGACGGCGTTTTACAAAGTATTTTTACACATCAAATATACTTAGTAGGAGGCATCTGTTACCTACTGTTACTAAATACTGAAGCCCGTTAAGCAAAAGCTTATTCAATTCCATCAACACAAACCTGAATCTTTGGAACCATCAGTTGATTTATGGATTGAAGTAAAAGGTCAACGCCTGCAACGTCCTACTCAAAAAGGATAACGCCACGTAGGTGAATACTTTCACGGAGATACTGAATCTTCTCTGACAAAGAATCTGAATAGAACAGTGAGAAACAACGGACATATTATATCGAAAACTGGCTCGGACTTTTCGTCTGCTGTCAAGTGTTATCCATTGGGCACTCACACTGTGTGTCACGAAACCGACGACTATTGACTTGCAACGTGAGCTATCACTGCTAGAACTTGTTTTTACAAACTACAGTGATGGTGTCAAATTAATCCAATACGTAACTCCACTAGCAAATGGTGAACACGTAATACTGTACTTTAGGTATGAGATGTATGATGAACGTAACGTCTCTTCCCCACCCTGTTCGAATAACTAGCTGGCTATTACCATGACAACCAGAGCATATGCGATCTCAACAGTTCGGTCTGTCAACATGCATGTATCTAAGATGAATGGAATAAGTTTAAAGCCGCATCCAATCATCTCATGGTCAACACGTAAGCTCTAAAATCACATCTGGGATTTGTTCTTGTCAACAGATAATGAATCTTTTAAGAGTGAATACCGGAAAATTAGAAGTATATAAAAAAAAGAGTCAAGCGAGAAGTCGCACAACTTTTGAAATATGTTTTTGGTATACGAGAGCTGCGACTGTGTAGAATGATTGTTTTCGTACACTAAACGGATAACAAGAGTTAACGGTTCAGTTCCTCATGTACTGCCTCCCACATGTACTAGGTGAATCAGATTTGGCTGCGTTTGGAGCTGTACACGTGATCAAAGAAGCTGTTCTTTAATTGTTTGTTAACCTTAAACCTGGTAAGTCACACGATCCCGATGGGTTGCACCCATGACTGCTGTAATCCGCCACGGATATTATTGTAGAAACGCTCACAGTGCTGTTCAACATTCCTTTTTCCCAGGCTCAACTCCGCAGGGATTCGAAAGATGCTATAACTAGCCGTATATGTGAAAATGGCAATAGGAAAAACGTGTTCAACTATCAACTTGTCAATGTGACCGGTATGGAAGTTGAGCCACCTGAAAAGATAAGTTATTAAGTCGAGCACAACTATACGATCCTTAAATTCGTGAGCAACATGAGTTTCGGGAAAAGCGCTTCCAGAGACTCTCGAATTTCAAAATATGATCTGGAATGCACGAGTGGGTAATAACCTTTCTTCGTAGCCGAGTACAAAGTGTGAAGGTAAATAGGGAACTATCCGAATGGAAACTGGTCAGTGGTAGTGTGTCACAACGGAAACGGCATTACTCACCAGCCCACTGTCGACGACAGCACATCACCACCACGCGTGCAGGAGCTAAAATACTTAGCAGTAATAATAATTCTTGACCTGAAAACAACTACATGTTATAATGCAGCAGCCGAGAAAGGTTTTCGGGTGTTACGTTCACTTCGCCGAGTATTCAAATGCTTAAAATGCGTCCAGTGTGTAGGAACAAAGTTGGTAATGGGTCTTTCCAAAGTCCCTCACGATGGAAACTCAGAACGCTAACACATTTCCCCCCTTACTGAGTAACGCAGTGCATTTTCAATAACGATCAGGGTGTTAACATGTATTAGTCATTTGCTTCCTACATAACAAGTAATCTTCGAGGACACTTTGAGGAATTTCATAAGCCACGATCAAGTAAATTCATATTGGGATCCTGTTTCCCCATCCAGTGGTCAATGACTCGAACGCCTTACACCAATGAAGTGCATTAGCCCCATCGGTGAGAACTTTCAAGGAGAATATAGGTCCTTACTAGAAAGCAGTCTGCAAGTATTAACATAGTTAGACCGACCTGTTATTCTTATGACAGAAACTCAACTGAAACTATAGTACTTGCAGAAATAGCCTTTCAAAATCGACTGGTGTGCAACACGTTATCGGCGGTTACTGATAAGCCGAGAAGACCTAAAACCACAGCACACAACGTTAGTCAGAAACCTCACACAAAGGGGGAACACGGAGACGCAGCCACAGAATCATATTAAAAAAAATTAAGTTACGCTTATATACAAAACTATTCCGTTTGTCATCCATTCATGTGTTATACACAGGGCTCGCTATTCTCTCAACACATTTATCATTGGCCTATCTGCATTAGAAAGAGAATAGATTGATACTAATAACATGACTCATAGTGATTTCAACTTTGTTACAGGTTTGTAACACTAATTCAAAACTTTACGCCACCAACTTCTACTTCCGACATATATCTAGTCCCAATCTTGCTCCTGTATTGCTACTGACTCTTCGATTACTTTGATCAACAAATGTAACTGCATTCAGTGTGCTTGCTATGTCATCGGCTAACTCTTGTTTTTTTCTGTTCGAAATCCTCACACTTCTTGCACCTCAGCACTCAAGGTGCTTTCAGTTTAGGCGCAAACCTACCGAGGGCTAAACGCAGCTGGTTATGTATATATCTATGAGATTTCTGTTGGAAATCTACTCCCTAAACTGTGCATCTATACTTTTAGGCCTTAAAGCAACAAGGCGTATTTACGATCGTTAATATTCAGTTTTCTCCATCAACAACACAACAGTGACTAGCAAAGTATACCTCTATTCAGTTATCTTACACATAAGTTGCACACAAAGTTGCTTCCTATACTGAAACGCTAGGAATCTATCATGAAACTCTGTGCCAACAATCTTAAGTGAATTTAAAGTTGGCCTTGTTGTCATCCGACTGAAAATAACCAGTCAGAATGCAGCTCTTATGTAAGAACCAGATATAGGAAAATGATAAACTTTACGAAATTTAGGGAGTTCCGGAACAACATCGGCATTTCAAGCTGTAGAATAAACCCTAATTCTTAGCCTTATACAGAAGCCAACTCTTAAACATCTTGAGATTATAATTACTTGACTTCTAAGTCTTAGTTCTTAATCTTTAGACTCATTAACTCTAGGTCCTAATTCTAATGATCCTAACCTTACCTAATCATGACATATTGACCTTAAGAGTTTATTCTACAAGAAAACCATCCAATTTTTTTCAAAATCCAAACTATATTAGAAATCATGGTTTCCAACAATAAGCTATTCTGATCGTCCTTTTTAAATCTACACATCGGCTTGTTTAGTTTTAATTAGTCACCTAAAGCAGGTGTAGTATGATCTCATTGAATTCATACCCCTAATAAAACTGCCTTTTTTTCTCTTGATACAATGCATACCTATCTGGACTCATTGATGGTATTTTTGGTGCTAGAAGCTTTAATACTGTAGTTTCTATCCACATGATTATTTGAGTAGCCAGCTGTAATAATAATGTTCGAGTTACATAATATATAGTATATCTTGTTAGTCGCTTTTGTGTTGTTTCTAATGAAAGATTGTACGCGTGTGTTCAAAATCAAAGCCAAAATAATGTGTATAAAAACTCGTTTAGGAACCTTTCTATCGTTCTCAGAAGTGGACTTCGGTTTTCCTACTAACTTTTAGGCTTTCAAGCATTGAATAGGGTAGATCATGGAACTATTGTACTTAAAAATGGAATATGATAGTGGAGGCGGAATTATTCTGAGTGACGTTCTTCAACTACCCCTGTTACCCGTTAACTATTTCTTCAGCTATTTCAAATCCTATGTTTAAGAATCTACAACTCAGGCAGGCGTCTTATGCGACTAGAATTTTGGTATTTCTAATCGGCAACATTTGAATCAGTGATGTATTAGATAACTAATAGGGGTATAATAGCTCATATAGTTTGTGATATCTGACTCACTAAATATTTCAGTTTTAACAATCCGTGAACTTATCATAAGTTTCGTTTTAAACCGTCAGACTATATGTATGTGTCATCTTTAGCCCTACCTTTCATTTTTATTTCCAACCTGTTTATTTTCCGTTTAGTGCCTGTAACAGTTTAGACCGATCTTTCAATGTTGTTTGATTGAATCTTAGGTTGTATGTAGCTGATGAGAACCTTACAAAGTATACCCAAATTGTTATTCAATTCAATTCTTTGTTCTTGCTCTCTTCAAAATAATAAAGGGAACTAAGAGTATATCACAGTATCCACAAAAGCTAGCAACTTTAGACAACAAAACGATTTGTAAAAGAACAAAGCTAATTACTTAAGGTATAATTGTAGTGGATGACTATAATTGAGTCCTGTATATGTGTTTTCGAGCGCGAGGTTCTGGAATCCTGACCAAGAAAACCTGTTGTCCCATTTTACATAAAGTGCAAATATTGTCAGCCGAAACATAATTAGAGCGCTGTTTCAGATCAACAATAGCATTTTGTAAACTCAAATCATTAGCGCTGGTCAGTCAGTTAGTTACAACGTAGAACTTCGTACGAACGTACATCAATTCAGGTTGTCATACCTTAACTGATGCACTTACGCATTGGTGACACGTGGGATAAGAACTGGTAGTAGAGATAGCAGAAACATTAAGTGATAGAGGGACTTAATCGTAAAACATTTAACGTTAGATGCGCTCAGAGACATGGAGGTGGTTGTCACTTCTCGATTTCACACACCACATAAATATATTCCTTTTATAGTGACTTAGAAAGCAAATTGGATTAGAAATGATGTTATCGACCTGGAAATGCAGCCTTAGAGTCGAAGAGACAATTTCTTGAAGAAAATTGGACTAAGCTATATAAATAGGTGTAGACTACCTAGTTGGGGTTCTCATGGTTATTGTTACGAATGATCAAAGATTCTCTAGGCGTGCTAATGGAATATAACAACCTTAACCGATATACATGTGTCAGATTCTACTTTGTACATGGTACAATGATTTTCAGTACTCTTGGTAAAAGCCTCTAGTTTGTGTGTGTTAGATGTTATGACATGTGTCCTTAACATAATACATTTTACAGGTTTTATTATTTATGTTATGTACGTATGTATGATTTAGGCCATACAATTAAAATGTTTTGGTAGCGAAAAAAGATTACTTCCACTTTTTACTTATTGCCAATCAGAATTATTCATCTTTTTTATTTGATTTAATGAATTCAGTTTAGATTATAATGACTACTCTGGCAGGATTAAAAAGTCATGATTCAATTCTTTCAAAATTGGATACTTTTAAACGTAAACGGAAAGCTCGATTGGAAGTTGAAGAACTTACTAAAGAAAGTCGTCAAGCTATTGAAATGGCAGTTAGTGCCTTGTCAACTGATGATCCTAAACAATATCAATT